TGAGTGGCAAATCCTCCTTTTATATATTTTTCTGAAACAAAATTTTTGCTCTTTGCCTTATTCAATAAACCTAATTCATTAAGAAGAATAACATCTTTCTGAATAATATCACTAATATCTCCCAAGTTTGTATCAGGATTATTTTGAATTATAGGGTCTTGATCTGATTCTGAAACAATTTGTGAAACTGGATTATTTTGGAATGATGAACCAGTTTCTGGATCAGTTTGTGAAACTGGTTCTGGTATCTTGGGAGATCGAACTACTTTGGGTGCATGTGTTCTAAAAGTAGCTGGAATAACTTTAAGACAACATGGATTTTTTCGTTCAAGATGTGTGCGAAGTCTTTGTGGAGTTGGCAAGGTATCACCACATCAATTACAAGTTCGATTTTTCTTATCTTTTCTAACCATAGTATATGTCTAACAATTTTAATATATAACACTTAAAAAAATCTTTTGTTTAATTAATTAATTCGATATATTAAAATGGTACTATGTGACCTGGTACTATAATAGATTACATGTTAGGGCTTCAAAATTAGAAACTGGATAAGTGAAAATCCTGGTTCGAATTTTGTTAGGCTTGGTATATATATCAATAAATTTTGTTAGACTTGGTGTATATATCATTTTTTTTGTTAGACTTATCATATATATTAATAAATTTTGGTACACTTAGATATAAATTTTTGTTAGACTTAACATATATATATAGTTTTTGTTAGATTTTTTGTGGACCAGAAAAGTAGTGAAGAATCGTCTTTAGATTGAATTCTGCTATATCAATTAGTATTGGTATACAATTTAGGCTTGATTCACATCCGAGAAGGGATCATGATATTCATTAAATTTATATCCTTCACCACTTCTCTTGGACTTTTTTAATGGCAAGTTGTATATCATAAATAAATGATATCCTTTTTTATATGAATTTGGATAATTGAATGTGTTCTAGATATATAAAAAATCAATGTATTTTGACATAAAAATGACTTGACAAATGAAAATCTCAAGTCATACTTTATATGGTATAGTAGAACAATCTCCAATAACTTGAAAAGCTTAAATTGATATACAAAAATTGATATGCTTGGTGGTGAGGTGATTTTGAGATGTGAAATATAGCAAGATGACTAGTGCTGAGCTAGAATACTGATTTTTACCCTACTGAACAGTTCTGGAATTGAATGTGGTAGTTAATGTAGAGATAAAGGTGATAATTGAAATGGAGGTTAAAGTAACAGTTACTTTTGTGGTATAAACTTTTGGACATGGTAAATAAATGGTTGGAATGCAATAGATGACCTTTTTACATTTGTTATGATAATGATGGACATAGCTATTTTTTTTATTAGGAATGCAGATAACATTATAATGTTTCTTGATGGTAGCTGAATGGGCTGGAACTTGGAGAACTCAGTGACTTTGGTATAGATTATGAGTTGGGAATATATCCCAAATGATAGTAGTGGTAGCAGTGGTGGTGGTGAATTTAACACACATTTATTTATATAAATAAAATAGAAAATTGCTAAAGATCACTAGTGATAATTGTCACCACTGGGTAGAATTAAATTTACACGGGCAAAGTTAGGGTTAGGGTTTGATCAGAGAATTATGTAATTCTGCCCGGTGGTGACAATCACCACTGGTGAGCTTTAGCAATACCCAATAAAATATGTTAAATACATATTTAGTAATTTTTTACGTATCTTTTTTTTTTTTGTATTTATCTGTTATTTTTTTTATTTTTATTTATTTATTTATTTTACATTTATAAGTATTACATAACCAAATGCTATAATCAAATTAAGAATTAACTTTATTCGACCTTTATTAATTTACCAGGTTCTAATTTCATCTCTCGTTTCGAAGATAAATAATATGCATGATAAATAAACCTTAAATACTTTATGCAAGAATGATAATAGTGATAGCGGTGACGGCATATCGTCTCACATATAAAAAATCATCAATCAAAATTCTTTAAATTTAATACATAATTTTTTATTTAATAATAATTTTAATTGAAGTTATAATCTATTACGAGAAGTTCATGTAAATCGTGATATGGTGGAAGTCCTGTAACAATTTTCCTATACATGTAAATCAGGATATGGTGGAAGTCCTGTAATTATTTCATAAGCTATTATAAGATCTAAAATATTTATTTATTTTCGTTCAATAAATCAATTAAATATTTGAACAAGAAGGAACCAAGATGAAAACCCTGATGAACTTTTAATATTATGATAATAGTTGCTTTTGTAAAATAAATATCTGCTGCTTTTGTATATTCATCACCACTTAATATCTCAGGAGCTATATAAGGTAATACTCCGATCATATTTTTAACTAATAATATCAATAAAAAAATTGATATTAGAATTAGTAATTATCATTTTTTTTAAAAAAAAAAATAAAAATAAAAAATAAAATAAAAACTTAAAACAATAAAATAATTACCTCATAAAATTTTATAGATGATGAATCCTTTGGTTTTACCTCACCAAAGAGAATTTCATCTCTAGTATTGGTTAGAAGTATCTTATCACGAGACAATAAAAATTTGCGTAAATAAAAGTTTTTATCACAAAAGCGATCCCAGATGAATATACATCTGCTACAATTAAATGTTTGTTGCTTTTGTATATTCACCTCCACTAGAATTAACATAATTAATTTTACTTATTAAAAATTTAAAGCATATATTTCCAATATGAAAATCATGATGAATTATATCTAAATTGTTATTAATTATGATCGATATCATTTAATTGATCAGCTACGAATCATACCAAAAGAATATAATCATGCTTTTATATAAATAAATATCTGCTGCTTTTGTATATTCATCTCCACTTAATATTTCAGGAGCTATATAAGGTAATACGCTCTCAGAAATTTTTTTCTTTTGGGAATTTAAACTTAAATTTCGAACAAATCCCAGGATGAAAATCCTGGTGAACTATATATTAAACTATGGGAAAAAAATATGGGGAATATTGACTTTCTATTCAATGAACCTTCGATTCTATTTTAAACAAAACTTGACCATTATAAATTTGAGAACTTTCATGCATGTAAATCTATAAAAATTAAAAAAAAATAATATCAGTCTAAATAATAATCTAATGTGACGCATCATGCATTTGCAAAAAAAAAAAAAAAAATAATAATAATAATAATTTACCTCATTTAAGAAATCTTCATTTAACGGTAAATTTACCGTTAAATGTTTATATCTGTAATCTTCATTATGTATTTCTGTATTTCTGATTTAAAATTATAATTTGTACTATTAAATCTAAATGCTTAATGTGTGAAATGTTTAAGAGAGGGTGAGGTTGATAAATGAAACAATTTCTTGAGTTAATTTATAAGAGATTTTTTTATTAAAAAAAAACGTCCATAAATATTAAAAAAAAAGGGAGACTCGATTAATAAGGCGTCGATTAAAAAAAGGCATTTGGATAATCTGGTTATCAACGATCAACGTGGACATGTATAGAATAAGGCATTTCAATCAAATTATCATTATTTGTCGTACAACAATAAAATAATTAATTCCTCATATCTGATATGGAATCAAAAATGAACAAAAGGTCCGATTGAAAGGGATTGAAAAGGATTAAAAGAATTGAAAAGATGATAAGAACAGGATCAAATTTTCAAATCATTCCGATAATTCATTGAAGGAGCCCCTTTTTTATTTTATTGTTTTTTGTGGGAATATGCAGTGTGGGACAAAAAAATGAGAATTAAAAAATCGATCAATTATTATAATAAATCATGTGAAATTTTAATGCTAACTTTATTAATAAAAAATTGATATGATATTCGTTCATTATAACAACGATGGCTCATTGAGTTTACAAGATTAATTAGAACCGTTTGGGGAATATTTTGCCATTCCTCCATCATAAATCTTTCCAAATCATTTAGATTTTTTGGCATCCGTTTCTCGACGTTACTCTTTACAATTGCCCAAAGGTTTTCAATGGGGTTTAAATCTGGACTATTTGATGGCCACTCTAAAACCTTTGGGAAATTTTCTTGAAGAAAGGCCTTGGCAAGACGACTTGTATGCTTTGGGTCGTTGTCTTGCTGGAAGTGAAAATTATTACCAAGCATCTGGGTGATCTCAGGATTATGTATACGAAGAATTTCCACATAAAATTTAGCATTCATAATTTGTTTAAAACAAAATAAACCCGTTTTTCCTTTTATGCAAAAACCACCCCACGCCATGATTTTTGTACGATCTTTAGGCATACAACGAACTGGTCTTTCCCCTTATACCAATATTCTACAGTGTTTCTAAAAAGTTGGAAAGCAGCTTCGTCAGTAAATATTGTTTTATTCCATCGATCATTAATGTGTTTTTTGGCCATTCTAAATGTTTTTGTTTGTGTGCTTCAGTTAACATAGGGGTTGCTTTGGGAAGTTTTTTTTAAATATCCAATACTTGCAAGGTGCCTTCCAATAGTTCTATAAGATACTTCCATATTCATATTTTCTAATTTTCTTGCCAAAGTTCTTGTAGAAAGAGATGTGTCATGCTTTATGTATTGACCAAGCGCCCGGGAAGCATTTGCGATAACTTTTTTGGGTCGACCGTTCCCTCCAACATGCTTTATTTTGTTTTATGTTTCTATAAATTGTAGGTATTGAGATATTTGTAAGTTTATGTAATTCTTTGGAATTATGTATACCGTTATTCCACGAAATGTCTTTTCAACGAAAAAAAATAGCTACGAAACTTTATTATATTTGTGGGAATTTTTTTGGTAAAAAAAATAATCTGAAGAAAATCATTTTTTGTCATGTGCCAAATTTCTCATTTTTTTTTGTCCCACACTGTATGCAAACTATGTGTGAAGCGGAAATTAATAATCCATGGAGATAAACATAATAATAATTTCCGAAACAAATATAAATTTGTAATTCATTTTTCCATCTTTGGAGGTGGAGAAAAAAAAAAAAATACTTTGTGTATTATATTATATTGATAGAGTTAAGATATCCTATCCCAACAATTTCATTTTCATCATTTGCGTGATTATAATAATCCCAAAGACTAAACATTTCTCTAATATTTAATCATTCAGGTATATTTATTAAGATATATTGATAACTAATATTAACAGTAAAAATGATAAAATTAATTTCTTTTTATTATATATTTATTAAATAAAAAAAAAATCACCACGAAAATAAAAAAAAAAAGGAAAAATAGATATGAAAATTATTGCTATAACATTATTTTTATTATTTTATATTAATCTTCTTTACTAAGATGAAAAATTTTTTCCTCTTGAATATCATAATAACTTAACTTCTGTCCATCTTCTAATTCTTTCCCACAATAAATAATTCTTTGCTTTGGTATCGGGTAATCGACGGCTATACGTTTAATCATATTTTTTAATTCATATACGGAAGTATTCGAAGTCACTCTCACAGGAATAATTTCGCCATTCGGATCTCTTAAATTAACATTAAAGACATCCGAATTTGGATGAATAACTACGTAAAGACCAAAATTCATTCCAATTCCATAATCAGTCAAGACTTTCCCAATTTTCAATCGTTCACCTTTAAAATAAATTGTTTGCCTTTCGGGTTCAATCCCTTTTTTTTGTTGAATGATATCAAAAAGTTCACCGATACTTGAATTCTTATAAACTTCGGTATGTTCATGCCAATCGGATGAATCTAAGCATACTTTAATTTTTTGTCGACAATATAAATTTTTTGAATTATTATTATCAATTGAATAATATTCAAATGTATAATCATCTTTTAATTCTTGACCGAGATGAAATAAACGTAAATTTTCATTTTTTAATGGAATTTGTTTTAACACGTCTTTGATTTTGGTGATTTTGGGTTTTACTTTGACGACGGTTTCTTTCGTAATTTTAGATTTGGGATCATAATAAAGAATAGTAAAACATTTTTTACTTTCATTTTTAAATTTTAAATGAAGAATCGAATCTTTTTGGATTTCATAACTTGAGATGGTATGGTTATCTTCCAATATTTCCCCAAAAAAGTAAAGGACTTGAACCTCTTTTGAGATTCCGATTAATTTTTCGATAATCTCTTTTAATTGAAGAATGTCATAATCAGGTTCAACGATGATGAAAAATTGTTGTCCTTTTAAAGATTTAAAAGAAATTTGCATTTTTTTTTTTTTTTTGCTTTTAAGATAAAATGAATTTGAAGGAAATTGGGTCAATGAAAAAATGTGGTTAATAAATACTTTAGCGATCATATAGAACTCTCACCCTCTTATTATTCTTAGGAGACAATAATATTAATTCATGAAATAATACGTTTTAAATCATCTTGAAAATATAAATATTTCAAGTTGAATACACAATATTTGTAATATTTAATATAATTCATCAGCGATATTATAATAATAATTTATAAATAATATAATATACAAAAATAACTATACAAAGATAACAAAAATTTTTATCCAAAGTTCGTTGTATTGTGTAGAAATAATACGAAGGATAAATATTTTTTAAAGGATCAGATAAACAATACAATGAACGGATGGCTTCAGTCGAACTTAATCAACTTGTACCCTATAAAAGGATAGCTCCATCCAGAAAAGCCCGGAGAAAATTCCACGGGCACTGTTTATATCTATGCATAAGTCGCATCCCCCACACTTAAAAACTTTTCTTCCCCCAAATTTTTGTGTTCCATCCACAGCAACTACATGTTTTACTGGTATATGCCTCCTCAACTATCTTAACTTCTTTTCCAAACTCTCTACCTTTGAAATTAGCCTCTCCCGAAATCTTCCATGAGCCCATGACATCATTTTCCGTACAGTTCTATTGTTAATTTTGCGATGTTGTTTTTGGGACATCAAATGGCGGGATAATCAAATGTGCGGATAAGCCAAAGTGCTGTTTTCTTATGGCAATCATCTACGAGATTATGGATTTTTTGTCGAATGCGGATTTGAGCACGACGCATATGATTACGTTTATTTGCGCGGGCTTTAATTGTACGGGAAATGAGATCATCAAGATGAATAATTCTTTTGTACACTGTACGGAACGTCCTTCATGAAAGACCAAGTGCCATTGTCGATTCGTTGACAGCGGAGGATGCAAAAATAAGCGAGATTGGCACAGTTACTATTTTGAAACTCGATAACCATATTTAAACGAGTCTTAAGAGTTAAAAAAAAGTTCTCAAATCACTAAATTTCACAAATAAAAAATATATACAGTACATATATTCGTTTCTACCTAGAATATCCCATCCATTTTTCATTAATACCTTTTACCTCATATTCGGGTAGATCCGCACCTTTATGCTTCTTATTTTTCCCTCTATTTTTCTTTTTTTTCTGGGTGTAACTAAGCATTGCACCCACTTTGCGTTTCTTTCCCACTTCCAATTTGCCATTCATTTGTTCTTCATCATTGAATATCCTGAGCAAGTTTGCTAGTGGTTGATGAGGTCGATGCGTTGTATCATGATGATCTTGGTATCACATATTTGCTCTTTTTTTTTTTCTTTTTATCCGATGGAGTCTTGGAAGACATACTTGATAAGGTCAAGGGTGAAACGACAGAGTCAATCTCTGTGGGCAACCATAATCTCTGTGACCGAGCTGTGACACGAACATTCCAGTTGATGTCATATAGACATAAAAAACTGAAATGATGCTGGTAAATAGTTAAAAGATCTAAAAATATTTCTAAACAATAAAAAGATAATTTTTTAAAAAAAAATAAATGTATAAATAAATATAGATTTTAAGCAGAGGTGGTTTATACTTTCCCTTATATTTATAAAAAATGAAAAATGCGGAGGTTCACGATAACAATAATTGGTAAAATTAAGGAGGTAAATATATTATTTTTTTTTAAAAAAAAATGCTTCCTGTCGCGAAATCCGTAAATGGATAAGGTAAGTGTTGTAAATGAGAAGGGTATATTGTTTTTTTGTTTTCTTTTGTCTTTTTTTTTGTTTTTTGTTTTTTCTTTGTTTTTTCAAAAAAAAAAATAAAAATAAAAATACATCTACCTACCCATACATCCACATACTGTACATTCGCGGTGTTAAAAGATTTTTAAATATAGTATTTCAAACAATAATACGTTGTTGTTGTTGTTCGTTACATCTAAAATCCTACTAATATAAATATTTATTGTAGGACAGCTTTGTTTGAGGATTCGGATTGATTTATGATTAACAATACAATTTTATTAAACAATGAATACACTCATCAATTATGTGAACATAAACTTTTCATAAAATTTTAAAAATATAATTAATATAATGCCATGATTCATTTATTCAAATGTTTTTTTATAATTTATAATCAAAAATCATTTCTAAGTAACTTTCTGGTATACTCATTGCAACATTACTACAAAATTCAAGTCCTTCATCAAATGTTTTAAATAAAGTTTTATAGATTACACCTAAACTTGTAGTAATTATTGCACCAAAAAATATAATATTCCCTAATAATATAAATAATGGTACTAAAATTGATCCAAATATTACGGTCAGAAATGAGATTAAATTATAATTCTTTAAATTTACTCCACGATTAATTCCAATAATTCTGGTTCTTTTCCAAAGTAAATATTCAAATTTATATATCATAGGAAAATATAATATAATAAATGTTGCTAATGCTGATGGTATCGTATAAATAAAATATATTGGTAAGATTATAGGAATAAGAATAATTCTCCAAATTTTAATATCAAAAGTCTTTGATTCTTGATAACTTGTTATATTTTGAACTTTTTGAGGAATAGTAATTTCACATTGTTCCTTAATTAATGAAGAAAGATCTAAAGCTGTTTTTAAAGGTTGAAGAAAAAGTGATTCTTTTCTAAAATTATTAATATTATTAATATTAATATTATTATTATCATCATCATTATTATCATCATAATTACTATCATCAATTTTTTTAATTAATTTTTGTATATCATTTCTCTCCTTAGAAAATGATGACGATGATGACGACGACGACATTGCTGCTACAGTGGATGAAATTTTAAAATATGGCTCGTGCGGCTTCTTAATATGTAAAGTTATTGGATAAATTAATGTAATCCAAATTGCATAACAAATTGAAATCAAAATTCCAAAGGGAAAATAAAATAATATCGGTAAAGGTGAAATCAAGAAAAGTATTAATTTACAATTGGGTCCAAGATATTTGTTTATAAAGATTAAATAATAAAGATAATAAATATTATCAAAAAAATAAGAGATTAAAATGAAATTACTTGATAAAGTACAGAGAAATAAAACTGGTAAAAAATAAATTAAAAAATCTACCAGAATTAAGATTGTGCTTAAAGAAAACCGAATAAAATTTTTATTCATTCTTGTGTTTATATAGTTTTTTAATTTATTTTTTAATTTATTTTTTTTTTTAAATGACTGAAAGATTAATTTATACCTGACAACAAAAATTGTATTGTGTTATAAATGTGAGACATATTTAATTTTGTTCCTGGTATTTTATTTTTATAACATCTTTTTTTTCACCCTTTAACGTATGATAGGCTTTAGATGATTTGTGGCATCACATTTAATGCATAATTCAATGCATCACGCTTATATTGCAGCTCGATCATTCGACGTATCACATGGTTCATACTGAAAAAATAAAATTATTATTCGTTATTATTATTATACTTAATTAAAGATTTCCATTTTTGAATATTTATATACGAGATTTCTTTTATTCTATTCTTGTACATGTAACACGAAAACCATTATTGTGTCTCATTATTTTGCCGCAATAAATAATATGATGCATGATAATTTAAAATCTAATGTAAATAAATATAAATAAATAATAAGATTGTATCTTGGTTTTATATATTTCCTTTAGGTAAAAGAAGAAAAAATGACTCATTCATGATAATAGTGATAATATTTGTTTTGTCAACTCACCTGATATTTTACTGCTATAATGCGTTAGTGTAACCCGACAAAAAATTTGATCCTTATAAAATTTTGATTGAATTTTTTTTTTTAAAAAGTTATCGGCTCTTAAAAATGTGATACCTTAATAATAGCATTATAATAATTATAATAAAAATAATAAAATTAAAACAATAATTTTTATCAAAGTTACTCGATAAATCTATTTTAATTTCTTAACAATGTAACTTAAATTTAAAAATAAATAACATTGTAGAATTTCTGATGGTGTCATTTTAAAAATTGAACAATTATTAAAAAAAAAACTTTTTTTCGCTACGACGCAAAATTTATCATATATTGTTGTAATTTGTATTTTGTAAATGGAATTCATAAAACAAATAATTTAAAAATGAAAACCTCACCTCAATGATATAAACCATCAAATATTATGTTAATATTTACAGTGACAAATATAAATAGATATGATTGAGTGGCACAAGAATTTTGCTTCTAAGCATAGAAAGGTGAATTATGTAAATCCAATGCATTATTGTGTTGAAAAGTATGGTGACACCGTCAGACGACGCGAAATTTTAAAATCTTTTTTATAATCCGGTCGTTATTGTCGTTGGTGTTTGTGAGTTTATGAAAACTCATTATTTTTTTTAAAAAAATTCATCCTTTATCTAAATAATAATAGAAAGGCAATGAAGATGATAAAATTAAATGTCAAATATTTTATTTATTTTCTTATAATCTCACAGTTATGGATAATTTCAATTTATTCTTTTACACCACCAAGTAAAGTATATGGTCATTCAACTGCTTTAATCGACAAAACACTTTATTTTATTGGAGGATATGACTCGGCCTCTTCATTTAGTCTTGATTTAACTAAAACCTTTAAAGTACCATCTCCTTCATCAGCATTTTTTAAGGAAGTAGCGCCATCAGTAGGAATTAGGTGGGCAACTTCTTGTGTAGGAGGATCATATAATGATACAATTTTTATATTTGGAGGAGCGGCTTGGTATGGTGAAACGAAAAACTATGTTACTGATAAATTAATTAATGAATATGAATCGTATAGTCAAATATGGTCAATGCCAGTAATTGTAGGAGAACCAATTAGACGTTATTTTTTACAAGGAGTTATTGATACTAAAGGAAATATGTATATGTTCGGAGGACAAGGGACTTCTAATAATCAGACTCGATATTTTAATGATATGATTATTTTTAATACTCTAACTTCTACATATTCAAATGGTTCGACTATTGGTGGACCACCTTGTATGGTTGGTTATACTGCTACATTATTACCAAGCGGTATTATAGTGTATATTGGAGGGAGATATTGGAATGAAAGTATTCCTCTTAATACAACTACACTTCCAACTATTCCAATTACTAATGTAAGTTTAATTAATCTTTATTATAGTTTTTTGTTATTTGTCAATTATGATCTTTTATTTATTTTTTTTTAACAGATTGTCCTTTATGATATAAATAAAGATTCTTGGAATTACACTGTAAATTATTTCATTAATTAAATTACGATTGATTTAAGTTAGATAATAAGAAATAATCGAATCTTTTATTTTTAATAGGTTGCTGTTTCTAAAAGTTATATTCAAGATCGAAGTAATCATACGGCTGTTCTTGGTATGAACAATAATCTCTTTCAATAATTACCTTTTTTTTTCTTTACGATTAATCTCTCTCCTTCCTTTTTTTATTATTATAGCATCGGATGGCCTCATAATATGTTATGGAGGAAAATCATTAAACGACACAACTGTAAGTCCTTCTCTTATAGCATTAAATACAGCATCTTACCCATTTGAATGGAGTTCTCCAATATTTTCTGGTACCGATGAACCACCTGGTCTTGTCGCTCATTCAGCAAATTTGTATGGGGATTATATGATAATTGGATTTGGTAAACTTATTATTAAATTATATTATTTATAAATCATTTGTGTAAAATGTGTAATTCTTTCATTCTTTAAAAATAATTCATTAATCAAAAAAAAAAAAATCTTCATTTTTTTATAATTATTTCTTTTGAGTAGGATTGAAAACTAATATTAAAGCATCTCCAACAGTTGCTAGTTCAAGAATATATATGCTTGATATAGGAAATTATACTTGGATTTCTAATTATCAAACAAATACAACACCAACATCAACATCAACATCAACATCAACATCAAAATCAACAGCATCATCAATATTATCAACCTCAACAAAAATAGGAACAATTGTAGGAGTAATTGTTTTAGTAATGATTTGTTGTTGTATTGCACAATGTTTATGTGGAAATAATGATCCTGAACCCGTACCTGAACCCGTACCTGAACCTAAACCTGCACCTGAAATTTTTGTAATTTATAGCAAGTGGACATTTTGGAGAACTGCATAGTGATTAGTGAAATTATATATATAGGTCGATCATTCTAATAAAACTTTTTTGCTCATATAAGGTAACCTACCTAATAATGTATTTTAAAATTTTACGATAGTATTTTATTGGATTGGAGTAACAGTAAAGAATCATCCTCAAGTTGCTTACCTGAAAAAAATAGGTCGCTGTTGGTCGGGAGGAATCCTTCCTTTATAATTTCTCTAATTCTTTCAGTAATAAAACTTAATTCAGCTTTTAAGTAATAGTCTTTCCAGTTAAATTTTTCACAAAAATCTCATCTACTTTTTTTAAGATAAGAAATGGCATCAAAAGTAATTAATTATGATTCATTTAGTTTAAATATTTATTTTAATTCTTGAAATTTAATTAAATTTATAAATTTATATGTTTTACTATGTTTTTTATATTTATTCTATATTATTATTATAAATGTATTAATATTTCCTCTGGTCATATTTTTTTGTTTGATATTTTCATTTTAATATTTCGTTTTTTTTATGCTTTGTATTTCAAATTCAGAAATCATCTGATATCTAATTTAAAGTTATTACTTAATATGGTGGTGTATATGTAAATGCAGTGATACAAACATTCGGCTATTACATTACATTAATATTTATCGTAAATATAAATAGATATTGATTGAGATTTTAAAAACCAATTAAATTAATGTTTAACTGTTTAATAAACATATAGAACATACATATATAGAACAACTCACAATAATTTTGCTTCTAAGTAAATTTCAGAAAACACACTTACTTCGACTGCCAACTAAAATTCTTCCTTACTAGTAAGATAAATAAATAGCTTTTAAAAAAATGAAGTAACGTGAGAAATATTTTCAATGATATGGAATTAAATTGCAAAATAAATTTTTTTTTATACAGAGCTGACAATTTTTACTTAGAAGACCAAAAAAATAATAACTCATTGAGATGTTTTTTTTTTCATTCTACCAGTTAGATCTTCTTTCCACGGATATTTGTTTTGTTGATAACTTAGAAAGGTGAATGCAATGCATGATTGTGTTAAAAAGTATGGTGACACCTGTACGTACAATTATAAAATCTTTTTTATAATCCGGTCGTTATTGTCGTTGGTGTTTGTTGTTTGATGAAATCATTATTTTTTTTAAATTCATCATTTATCTAAATAATAGTTGAAAGTCAATGAAGATGATAAAATTAAATGTCAAATATTTTATTTATTTTCATATTATCTCACAGTTATGGATAATTTCAATTTATTCTTTTATACCACCAAGTCCTTTATTTGGAAACTCGACTGCTTTAATCGAAAAAAAACTTTATTTTATTGTAGGATATGACTCTTTCTCTTCCTTTAGTCTTGATTTAATTAGAAATTTTTCTGTATCCCAAATAGGCTACAATTTTTGTATTTGGAGGACAGGCTTTGTATGGCGATGCGAAAAACTATGTTATTGATAAATTAATTAATGAACATGATTCGAAAAGTCATGAATGGTCAATGCCAGAAATTTCAGGAGAACCAATTAGCCGTTATCATTTACAAGGAGTGATACTAAATATGTTTGGAGGACAAGTGGCTTATAATAATCAGACTCTATATTTTAATATTTTAATGATATTATTATTTTTAATACGCTAACTTCTACATATTCAAATGGTTCGACTATTGGTGGACCACCTTGTATGGTTGATTACACTACTACATTATTACCAAATGATATTATAGTGTATATTGGAGGTAGATATTGGATCCCAGTGTTTGAAATTCAAATTTTAAATCTGTGCGGAACATACACAATTTAGAATTCTATATGCAAAAATTTGTGCGGATGCTTTTTTTTTTATGCGCGGAGTTTTCAAATTTTGTGCTAGCGCACATTCCACACATTGAATTTCAAACACTGTATTGGATCCTCTTAATACTACTACAATTCCAACTATTCCAATCACTAATGTATAGTTTTTGTTATTAGTCAGTCATTATTTTATTTATTTATTTATTTATTTATTTTAAACAGATGATCCTCTTATGCTATAAACAAGGATTCTTAATAATAATATTATTATTAAGTTAGATAATAATAAGAGATAATAGATTACTGTTCCCAAAAGTTATATTCAAAATCGAAGTTGTCATTTGGTTGTTCTAGGCATGAATAATAATCTCTTTCTTTAATTACCTTTTTTTTCTTAACGATTAATCTCTCTCCTTCCTTTTTTTTATTATTATAGCATCGGATGGCCGTATAATATGTTATGGAGGAATATCATTAAGCGACACAACTGTAAGTCCTTCTCTTATAGCATTAAATACAGCATCTTACCCATTTGAATGAGGCATATTTTTTGTTTGATGCTTTGTATTTCAATTTAGAGACCTAAAACTATTAATTTAAATTTATTTCTTAATATGGTGGTTGGTATGTAAATGAAATTTATAATTTAGACAATGGAGACCTAACCGCTGTGGTACAGTTATTTCTTAATATGGTGGTAAATGAAATTCATAATTTAATTTAACAATGAAGACCTCACCGCTGTGATGTAAACATTTAACTATTACATAAATATTTATCGTAATATTGCAATTAATTGATTTCTCATATATAGAATATATAGAACATAAAAGCTGATACACAACTCTCAAGAATTTTCTTCTAAGTAAATTTCAAAAGATGCAATTTCGACTACTAACTAACTTTCTTCCTTATTGGTAGGTAAAACAAATAATTTTTAAATATGAAATATTTTTATTAGAAGAAAGAAACAACTTGCATTTCACAAATTAGAGCGTGATGCGGAATATTTTCAACGATATGGAATTAAATTGCAAAATAATTTTTTTATAGGGTTTGGATGGTGCAATATTTT